CATTCAATGCACGGGTGCAGCAAGCCACGCTTCCCAAACCTCCCGCTCCTCCCCAGCTGGGTTTGGGCAGGATCCAGTGGCTGGAAGCTCCTGCTTTGCCTGCTGCTGATCTGAGTCTCGGGAGCTCCTTGTCAGGAGTCTGGGCTCGGGCGTATTAGGAAAACCGGAGCAGGTCGTGCCTTGGTGCTTTCCTCCCTGTCGGGGCAGATGCCCTCCAGGAGGGGAAAGCTGCCGCGTCTGCAGCGGGGGATGAAGGGATCTGGCCACTGGCCACTGCATCAAGATGTCCCCGCTCTTCTCCCATGCCACAGTAGCCTCGAGAGAGCTCCTAAACAGGAAACTGGTTCAAACCAGAGTGCCCCCCCCCCGGCTGCCGCTCCTCCGAGCGAGGCCCCTTGGTGACGGTTGCGCCATCACGGCTCGGCGCTGTCTGTTGTGCTCTGTTGTGTTTTCTCTCCGTAGTAACGTACCAGTGGCTCCCTGGGGAGCAAGGCCAGCCCGCGGCGTGCAGCGAGCCCTGGCCTGGGATGCACGCGTTCCTTGGGACGTCTGGTCCTCTCAGCTTGCCCCACACGCAGCTTTCAGCGGCCACCTTTCAGCTCAGTAGCCAGAAGAGCCGAGCCCGCCTGCCTCTGGGTCTGAAAGCGGGAAACGGGGCTGGGGGCTGCTCTCTGGCGTCTGCTCTCTCCCCCGCCTTGCTCTTGGGGAATGGCTTTGCAGCAGTGCCCCAGGGAGGCTGGAGCTCAGGGGCTGCCTCCAAAGGCTGGTGAGCGCAGAAATTGGCCCGCAGGCAGCAGCCAGCCCTCGCCAGACCCCTGCCCTGCTCCGCTCCCAGGCACGCAATGGTGTATTGTAGGCTGGGGCCAGCACGGAGGGACAGGGAGGAGGCCTCAGGCTGGGGGGACGGGTCCTGCTGTGCTGCCAGTGCTGCAGCATCCCCTCACCGGGCAGGTACCGTGCACACCTGGGAGAGGGGACCAGCGAAGGATGGGCTGGAGCAGGGTGCCTGTGTCTTCCCGGACGCCTGCCGTGGCCCTTCCCCAGCTTGGGGCTGCGGCCGGGCTCCCTGCTTGTTCATCCGAGGCTCACGAGCCGCCCGGCCTGGGGACTCGTGTCTGGTGGTGCGGCTGAGCCTGCGGTGCAGGGGCCTCGTCTGCTGCCCAAAGCTGTCTGCTCTGCTTGGGTGGAAGCTCTGTGCCACTGGTCCTGGTGGAAACCCTCCGTGGAGAGCAAGTTTAGACCTGGTCTCTCTCCCACCTCCTGGAAAAGCTTCCCCTTCTCCGTGCACCCTGTAATTCCAGGGAGGGCTGGGGACCAGCTGTGCTGCCATTGCTGCCATTTTCATCACGCAGCCTCCTCTTGCTCCTCTTTCTTGCTGTACTGATTTGCATTGACTCAGACTTCCTCGCTCGCGGTGGCCTCAAAGCCGAGGTGCTGCGCAGGGGAGTGTCTGCAAGTCAAACATCACGATCAGGCTCATGGGGCACTGCTCGGGCCGGCCGAGACCTGAGCCTGTTTTGCCAAGCTCCGTCTGTGCAGGCTGATAAAATCCCTGCCCCAAAGTCTAAGGGGGCGAGACAGACAGGCGGGAGGCCGGCTCGCGGCATCCCTCTTATGCCGTGTTTTGGTGTGGTTTCTGCTTGTGTGCCCCCTCTCTTCAGGGGGGATTGAGACAAGCTGGGGCTGGGCTGCTCCTGTGAGGGGTCAACGCCGCTTCCAGCTCCCCCAGCACTGCAGTGTTCCCTTTGCTGGGGGAAGCCCCCCATGCCCAAGGTACGTAGCACCAAGGCTTCTTCCAGCATCGTTATTGCAGCAACGTGTCTCTGCTCCCCCACCTCCTCCCTCTGGCCCTGGGGAGGCTTTTTGGTGGGAAAACAAGGGTTGTGCCCGGAGCTCCTCATGGGGAGCCCAGGAACAGTCCTGGTTTGGGGGTACAGCCTGCTTCACCCTGCTTTTCCCGGAGGCTCTGGGCCACAGTGAGGACAGTGTGGAGAGGATGTGCAGAGCAGCTGTTTTTCAAGGAAACAGGCTTTCCGCCGGCCAGTCCTTCCCCTCCCTTCATGAGCTGTTGGCCACCTTCAGCCTCGCTCAGTAGAGGAAGAGGGATCTCGGTCTCCAGGAGAGGCTGTTCCTGCAGGACCTGTGCCATGAGCCGGCATCACCGTGGAGGCAGGGCTGCCATGAGTGCACAGCCTGACAGCAGACAGTGGAGAATCCGGGCAGGATACTGTCTTACAAGACTGAAATCCTTTTGGATCCCGGCTTGTTTCTCCTTTGTTGATCAGGGCTTTTTCCCACCTCCAGCCCCTGGGGCGGTGCAGTCCCGTGCATCCATCTGTGCCCAGCTTATGGGTTTGGTTTGGCATGTTCTTGCCTGGAGGGGCTGCAGGGTGTGTTTGCGGTGCCCTTTAAGCATAACCACTCACCTCTGGCTGTCCGCCTCCATCAGCTCCTCTTGCAGCCTGGAGCTTCCTCTTCCACCACCTTGCTCGGTTTGTGGCTCTGCATCACCCACCATCCTGCAGCGGGGAGCTGGAGACAAGGGACCAGGAGATGCTCGGTGTATCCCAGCCCAGCCCCGGGGCTGCGCAGAAGTGGGGACGCAGCAGTGATCTCCTCCCAAGCCATCGGTGTCACCTGCAGGGCCTGCACCAAACCCTATGGCACGAGTGTCCCTGATTTCATGAGCTGGGTGGCTCGGGGTCCCATCACCGAGGTGAGCACGTACAGATGCATTTGTGTACTTGGCTGAACCGGGAAGTTTTTCTGAACTGGGACCAGTTTCCCACAGTGTTGGCGACACTGGCTTTCTCTGCGGAGCCGGTTGTAGAAATCCTCTGGGCTCTGCGCGTGTTCATCTGTATGCTAGCGGCACGCTGCAGCTCCTGTCCTGGTTGGGGTTTTGTGGTGCTACGTGGTACAGCGAATATCGAGGGAAAGTCTGTCCAGGGCAGATCTGAGATTCCTCAAACACTGCATCATCTTCTGCTTTAAAATGCATTTTTGTGGGTGATACTTCTATATGGATCATATATATAAAAAATATAATATAAAAAAGTATATTTAAAAAAACAAACAACATTCTTTTGCTCTGTCATCACTCAGAGAAGGATTTAATCGTGAACTTATTAAAGCTACAGGCAGAGTCTATGGAAAGTTTTGGCCTGGGAGGAGAGCAGAGTGGAAGGTCTGGAGCATGTGAAAGCCACCATTATAAGAGCGTTTTACAGCCTTCGGTGCTGCCACCTCTGCCGATAGCGCCTCTAAGAGAGCTGCCGCCGAATGTGTCGCTTCTGATGCGAGGGTGAGGGCAGCCGGCTTTGCCTGTGCCCCGACCTGGGCGGGCTTTCCCTCAAATGAGACAGGTCTGTGCTGCTGGGGCAAAGCTCAGCTTGCAGCTGCTCCCTTGGCTCTTGGCTTTGTTCGGGTGCCCGGATCCACACGGGGAAATGCTGCGGTTCTCCCTTTTTTTTTCCCCCCGCGAAGATTTGTGGCTGTAAAGTGGGGCTATAGGATCTCATCTGCGCTGGTCTTGCTAACGGGGAAGAGGCGAGCACCCATTCAGCCCCTTCCCCACCCCGTTACCTCTGCCCATCCCAGCGGTTCACCCCAAACCCTCTGTCCCGAGGCAGAGGGGGGAGCCTGGGAGCTGCAGGGAGGCTCAAAGAGCTTGGCTTTTTGGTGAACTAGAGGCTGAGAGCGGCAGGACTGATGTCTGTAAATACTTGGGGGGATGGCAGGGAGGGAAATTATTTATGTCCACCCAAGAACAATGTTGGCACAAGAATGAGTGGGTAGAAACCAGCAGGATAGGCTGGAAATGCGAAGGTTTCCATCCGATGTAGGAGGATTGAGTCTCTGCCTAAAAGGAGCAGGAGCGAAAACTTGAGCTGCTTCTCTTGAAACGCAAAATTCAAATGGTCTCATTTCTAGTGCCTCTCAAATACAGGGATCAGGGGAACTGGGCTGGAGTTGTCAGCTGAAATGCAATAAAATAAAGCGTAGTGAGCTCAGCTAAAGCATATAGTAAATGCAGGTGAACCTTGTGGCCCTTTGCCCTCCAATAACCATTGGAGGGAAAGGAAAGGTTTCCATTATTTTAATTGAGCTTGTCTCTTTGATTGGAAGCTTGCATTTCTGAAACTCACTTTTAAATACAGAAACCCCCTAGAAATGAAATGTTTGCTTTTGCGTTGAAGAGAGAAGCTCGGGTTCTGCAGACGAAGTCGGAGGGTGTTATTAGCCCTCCCCTGGTTTACACGTGTGCTGAAACTTCTTTTTTCCTGTAAGTGAACTGCTGTGAGAGAGGTCAGGGTGTCGCAACAGGAAGCCTCTGTGTGTGTGTGCGTGCATGTAAATGTGTGGGCACAAACCCCCTTGCATGCCTGTATGCGCTTCCCTGTGTGTTTGTGGGATTCATCTCCCCCAGCATCTTCCCCAAAATGCGTCTGTCCAAATGCTGCACCACCAGGCCAAGAAGTCTTGTCCTGTTTTATATGCCATGACAAAAAACTCGGTGCTGTAGAGAGAAAGGAATTGGCCGGTACCTGGATCAGCTTTGTCCTGTTCTTCCCCCTCCTCTTTTTGCTCACTCTCCCATCAACACATCCCACCCGTCCCTGCCAGCTCCTTTCCTACCCTGAACGCGTTGTGTTGGCACGTCGGCCCTTGATTTAGGGCTGGGTGGAAAAGGTCCAGGGGGCTTGGAAAAGCCAAGCAGATCCGCCTCTGCTCGCGCCTCGGGAGGGGGGCCAACAGGCATGTCCAAGTGTCACCAGAAGCAAAATATCTCTGCTGAGATTTTTCCACTGTGTGAGACCACCCAGTGCCGCAGCCGTTCCCGCGGGCGCGAGGAGCCGTGCGAGGGCTGTTGTAGCAGTCCCAAGCTGCCTGTCCCCCTGCTGTGGGCTCCCCGGTGAACGGCTCCATCCGACGGCGGGCCGGGAGCCTGGGGCTCCCCGGGGACATCCTGAGCCTCACCCCTCTCTCGCATCCCCCAGGTTGCCACGACAAGGCGGTGCTGCTCTATGAATATGTGGGGAAGCGGATCGTGGACTTGCAGCACACGGAAGTACCGGACGCCTATCGAGGGAGAGGAATAGCCAAGCACCTCGCGAAGGTACAGCCCCCGCCACCCCTTCTCCCCTGGGCAGAAGCTGTCGCTGTCCCAGCTGCGGCTAGAGACCCTGGCTTAAGCAAGGCCCCATTGCATCGGTGTTGCACGCGTGCCCCCCAGGAACCATCCCCGCTCCGATGGGAGATAGGGGTGGCTGGCGGAGCAGATGGAAAACCGTGGTCAGATATTCCTATTTCTGGCGGTGAGAGGGGCTGGGTGAGTGCCAGCACGTCCAGCCGCTTGCCCAGGCTCGGCCCTTTCCTCCTCGCAGCGAACAGCCCTCGCGCCCACCTTGCAGGGGCTGATGCAGCGCCTCTCCTGGGGGCTGGGCCCCCTCATCTCAAAGCTTCAGGGCCTTCGTGAGCCCTTTTCCTGCCTTGGGCCTGTTTTGAGGCCCGCAGCCGTGCAGGGAAAGCTGAAGAGCCACAAGCACAGTGGTGGTGGGGGATTGCGGGGTGATGCTTTGGGGTTGCAGCTGCTCCCTAGCCCTGTAAGCCAGGGCAAATGGGTGACAAAGGTGGCCTTCACGTGATGTGGCTGGGTCGCCCACAATGCAGCATCCACCAGGCTGGATGCATTGAGGGTTGCCCAGGGGGTCCCTGCACACTTCTGGTTAAACTGGGGACCTTGTGGCGGCTGTGGCAGGACGGCCATGCTCTCCCCCCCAGCCCTCTCCTCCCAGCTGCCTCATGCAGGGCGTGAGGGCAACCTGCCGTTTCCCCCAGCTGCACCTTGGGTACGGGAGTCCAGTCCCCCGGGATGTTTCAGAGGAGAGTGTAGGCTGGGGGTGCTGGTTATAACCCATCTGTCCTCTCTGGTTGGTTGCAGGCGGCCCTGGACTTCGTGGTGGAGGAGGACCTGAAAGCTCACCTGACGTGCTGGTACATTCAGAAATACGTCAAGGAGAACCCGCTGCCGCAGTACCTGGAACACTTGCAGCCTTAAGGCAGGACAGCTCTGACACCAGCACGCCTGTCCCTGACTGTTCAACGCGGCCTTTGCTTCTCTGCGGTCTCAGGAAACCCCCCTCCCACACTCACAATTCCCACTTTTTTAAGTACGTCCATGTGATGCATGAGTGTGGGCGCGACCTCCTCCTCTCTGCCCACGTGTGAGCATGGCTACAGCCCCGGGGCCAGGCTGGCTCCAGGCACACGTGGTGCCCCCCGGTGCTCTTCTTCCCAAGCCAGGGGGTGGAAGAGGATGATTTTTCCACCAAACTCCATCACAAGACCAGGGGATGACTCAATCTGCGCCTCATCCTCTCCCCTCCGCTTGGCGACAGCAGTGAACTGGCTGGGGATGTTGGTTAGGGGTGGTCACAGGGTACCAGCCCCCCTTTCCTCCCGGCAGCTGGGGAAGATGCTGTGGATTAAACCTTGTGGGACAGAGGGAGGTGCTGGGCGAGCCCCAGCCCCACGGCAGGTTCATCCCCTGCGGCATCTGCTGGGCACCGAGCCTTGCCCAAGCCCACGTGGGGCGCAGGTGAGAACGTGTGGGCCATGGTGGTGCCTCAGGGGCTTTGCTGCAGTGACTGTGGAGATGCTGGGATGGTGACACCTTTGAGCCTAGAGACAGGAGCCATGTGAGGAGCGGGCTTCCGCCACAGGGGCTGCAGCAGAGCATATGCTGTGTGAGTGCGCAGAGGAAGAAAGGCGGCTGAGTCGCAGACGCTGCTCCCTGAAGATGCCAGCTCCTGCCCAGCTGTCTGTACGTAGCCCCAGCATGGCATCCCTGCAGGGTCGCGGACCGTTGTTCCTGTCTCTGCTCCCTGCTATCGGTGTTGTCCGTGCTGGCGTGGACACAGCCTGCTCAGGAGAAGAGCACAAGCCCCGACGGCCAGCCCTGGCCTAAGCAATGAGGGGACATCCCACGCTTTTGCAGGCACCAGGGTGGTTTCCTGCAGCTGCAGAGGAAGGCTCCCCCCCAACTCCCTCGACTCCAGCTCTGCACCCCTGTCTGTGCCCCAGATCCTAAGGCCTGAGCCGTCATTGCATCCTGAGAGCATCAGGGGTAAGGCCTCCGGGACCTGGTCCTGGCCCGTCTCCAGGGCTCGATGCTAGAGCTGCCTGCCTCCGCGTGGATGCTGATCACTTCTCCTTACGGCCTTTGGAAAGAAGCCCCAGCTCAGGGCGTTACCCGTCTGCTCACTGGTCTCCTCGCAGCTCCAAGCCCTGGGCGCTAGCAGCATCGTGGGGTCCTCGGCCAGCAGCAGGGAGGAACACCCTCGCGTTGCGCTGTTACCTCTGCGGATGATGACCCCGTAGCACAGCTCAGCGTTGCCACAGTCGGATGTAGAGGTAACACCGTGACGGCAGGGCAGTGTCTGGCTCCAACTTTCTGCCTGTCCTGCCTTGCCCAGGCTTTCCAGGGCCTGAGCTAGACCCCAGAGCGTCTCCCCGTGAGCTCTCGGGATTTTGCAGGGCTGCGGTGGGGAAGACGGTGCTGCTGGCACGCCAGCCCTGAGCAGCCGCTGGGGGCTGCAGCCGGGCAGAATGAGCTAAAGAGCCTTTCACCTGGAGGCTAAATCCAGACCTAGCTTATCTCTCAGCAGGGACTAAAGTTTACAATCTGTGCCACGGACCGAATGAAGCCCCGGCCAAGAGGCAGCTCAGCCCTCTCCCAGAGCCCAGTGCAAAGTCCACGGTGGCAAAGGCAAAAGTTCCTACAATCTTCTCTCCTGGTTGGGTTGGTCAGAGATGGAGACCCTGTGCCTGATCTCAGCCAGGGAGGCCCTCCGCTGTTCCTCCCAGCCACAGGCTCGAGGCGAAGCCCTGCCACCTGCCTGCGCTCGCGGGCTGCCCACCGCTGACATAACGCAGCCCTCTGCCCGCAGGCTCGAGTAAAATCTCCCAAACTCCATCCCTGCCCTGCCACACCGCAGGCTGAGAGACCCCCGCCCGTGTCCACCACCTGCCTGGGGAGGGACCTGTGCCCGGCGGCAGACCCATCTCTGGCTTGTGCTGCTCAGGAAAGGCATCAGGCTCAGCCCTGCCGCTGCCTCGTGCTTCTGCCCTCTTGTTGCCTATTTCAGCCTGGCTGCGACCTTCAGGATGGTTTAGAGGGACTGGGAAAGGGTCACAGGTAACAAGCTAAAGAAAAGGGGCTGAAGAAGAAATCTGGGCTGCTAAATGTTCACTCTTTAACATGCAAAACACACTTCAACGTCTAGTTACAGGAGCAAGGCTGTCTCTGTTACAGCCAAGTGATGACAGAACCGTCCCTGCTCTTGATCCCAAGGTGAAGCTGAACCGTCTCCTCTCCTGCAAGCCAAGATAAGACACCGTCGTATCTTTGTCACAGCGGGGCTGGGTGCTTGGAAGAGATGTGTGCCTGGTTGCCTCGTGGGAGCAATAGCATGAGCCCAGCGCTGCAAGCCTCTGCCCTGGTTTTGTGCTCATTTCCACTGTGTGACAGTTCCCAGAAGTACCCCGTCGTGTCTGCCGCATGAGAGCGGCTCGCTGGAGGGTGTGCTGTGGTCGCTGCACCGGCAGGGTCCCAGCATCCAAGCCCAACCCTGGAGCCCTTCGTGCTGCTCTGGCAGGTACCTCGTGCTTCCTGGCGCTGGATCACAAGTGGCGATCACTGCCTTAAATCAGGCACCGCACACAGTTTTGCTGCTGCTTCCCTTCGAGGTGCTACAATCCCTCCGGTGTCTGACCTGACGGAGATGCGTGCCAGTGTCCGTGCCAACCGTTTCACTGCTGTACCCATCCTCTGCCCCGGCCTTCCCTTCCCCGTGGTTTTTGATGTCGGCAAATAGCAATACCCACAGGTCACCAGCGGTGCCGCAGTCCACGGTGCTCCTGAGATCTGGCGCTGCCAGGTGGGAGATGGCTCGGGGTCCCTCGGTGCTGGACAGCCCTCCCTCCTGCCTCTCTGCCAGCCGCCCTTTCCCAGCTCGTCTCTGCAGGAAGGAGCTTTGAGTCCTGCACTGCCCCTTGGTGCTGACTAAGCCTGGAGGAGCTGGGGATCCTGGACTCTCTCTGGCAACGGGAGTGTGGAAGTGGGTTGGTTGAATATTGAGGTCCCCAAACCCATTTGAACTACAGACCTGGGTGGGTGGGGAAATGCAGAGTGCCGTCAGACCTGCTTCCACATCGCCCAACTTGAAACACCCCCATCCTTCGTCAGCTTAACAGCATTGTCTTCCTCTGTCCAAGGTTTCCATTCTGTTGAATTCGGTGGTTACGATGTGCCTTTCCTTCTCAGGACCTGTTACAAACGACCTTTCTGCTTTTGTTTATGTCTAACATTTATCTTTATCCCTCCCTCTGTCATACTATAAAACATGAACATATTGCATGGAATACAACACAATAAAAAGTGTGGCTTAACTGACCCGCAGTGGTTCACTGTGCCGCGCTTGGTGGGAGGCAGGAGGAGGTGCCCACGCAATCAGGGGACCTCGGGCATCCCCAGCTCTGTCACTGCTGGGCTAGGTCACTTCAGCAGAGAGCCTGGTTCACAGGTCCTGTCAAACAACTCTGCCCTCCAGTCCGTGCCCAGGGTATGATTTTTGCTGTCTTGTTGCCGCGTATTCATTTTCTACATAAACGTAAACAATCTTTTTCTCATCCCCAAAAAGCGCATCCTCTGACAAATCTAACCCCAAATCTCTTAGACGGTAACTACCGTGCATCTGTCAGTGTCTTGGAGAAGATGAGAGAACAGGCAGAAGTTGGCAGATCTGCGCGTTGGTGTACTCAGCAGCTACTCTCCCACTGCCTAACCTTCCCCTCCAAAAAATGAAGAAAATGCTACTTCTGTCCCTCATGAGGAAGAGGATCTCGTGCAAGAAGAACCCCATCCAGGTGGTGAGGATGATGGAGGGTCCATAAGACCCTCGCTAGGTTCAGGACAAAGGAGGCTTGGTCGCAGGCCTGGTGTTGGCCGCAGCTCCCTGTGATTTGCAGTCACTCGTGTCTTTTCGTCACCTAACCTGGATGCTACCTGCATCACCCTTCTCCCATCGCGGAGCACCTCGGAGCCGGATCCCAGGCAAGCCCAGCATGCTCCCATTGCAAATCAACAGGGAGGCACGGGCTGGAGCTGTTGAATTGTATTTCAGGTCGTAGGGCTGGCTGACCTCGTGGTGACTGCGTAGAGCTTGGGGTGAGTGGGGTCACAACTGGTTCCTCTCCTTTGCCGGCTGATCCGCCCCTGCTCACGCTTACCAGTCCTGCCTCGAGATTTCAGGCCAAACAGTCTTCAGGAGTTGTCCTACAAATGCAGCTTCTGGTGAGCAGGCACTCAACGTTTGTGTTCATCGGTTTAAGATGTTTGAAAACATTAAGGCATGAAAACATTTGAATAGCCAGCCGGTGGAGTCGTTCCCCGCTGTGCTTGTCCAGAGCAAGGCGGGTGGGCAGGTGACTCAAAGGAACACGAGGCGCTTCTCTCCGGGGGCCAGCGCTCCTCAGCCCTGGTAGTGACAGCCCCAGCACTCAGGCTCCCAGCACAACGTGTTTACGTTGCTTCCTAAAGCCGGGTGCAAGCCACGGAGGCTGAGGCCGGAGTTTCAATAGTTAGATATGGGAGGGGGGGGGGCCTGGGGGGGGGGGGGGCGGTGGTGTGGGGAGAAGGGGCACAGCTTATTTACAGTTATGATTTGATCCAACGTGACAAGTGGCCCCTGGGCTGCAATTCGAGCAGGCAGGAGCGTGGGTTTTGCTCCTCCCAAGAGACATCACGGGAGGTTTGGGTTGTAGCACGAAGCTGGGCTGTTGCTGGTAACATGCTGTTTACATTCCACATTCCAGAGAGTCCGATGCTCCGGCCTGCCCCAGCAATGCCGCCGCTCGGCTGCGCGCTCTGCCAGGCTGGGCACGCTTCCCAAACACCTCTTGTTTGTGCAAATGCACCCTTTACCTCCACCGAAACAGATGACCCCCAAGTTACGGCTGAGAAAGCAGGGGTGCGGGAGGGCCCTGCAGCCTGGAAGCGCAGCCTCGCAATGCCTGGGAAGGTGGAGGAAGCCATGGGTTCGTCCTCTTTAGTGACATTACATCGCTTGGAAATAATGTTGTCAAAAAGAGGCATTTTCTAGGAAGGGGAGATGCAAAGACAGCGCCGCTCTCTTCTGAAACGCACCGTCACGCCGGTTGCGCTCTCCGCCACGTGCTGGGAGCCGAGGACAGCTGGCAGCGCAGCGCACCTCCAGGAGAGGGGAGGCAGCGGAGCAGGGAGCTGCTGTTTGTTAAGGGAAAACCAATTCCCGAGAAAAAGGCTCCTCTCCTGGGAGGAGTCGGAACTGGGAGCTAGAGAGGGCCCTGAAGGAGCACAAGGATCCCAGAGACGCCGTCCAAGCACCCCGGCACAGGTCCCCTTGGGTAACCCTGCTGTGCTGGGGGGTGGGTGCCCCCTGGGCCAGAGGCTAAGGGCAGGGTGGGTCCTGGAACATCCCCCACAAAACCTCCAGCTGCTGTCAACCGCTGCTGGATCGACAGGAGCTGGGAAACCCGTGACAGTGGCAAAAAAATATTCCCCCTCAGGGATGGCGCAGTGGCGGGGCCTCCCCGTTCCCGGCCTCCCTTTCAGAAGTGATTAAAGGGGCCACATTTGCCCCAACAAAGCCCAGTCTCCCTTCCCCAGGGGGGTGCTGCTCTGAGGAGGTCCTCCATTCCTCCTCCGCCTG